AGAGAGAGAGAGAGAGAGAGAGAGAGAGAGAGAGAGAGAGAGAGAGAGAGAGAGAGAGAGAGAGAGACAGAGAGAGAGAGAGAGAGAGAGAAGGCAGAGTCGGAGAGCTGCCATGGAGCCGCCAGAGAAGAAAGATGCAAGCCGCCAGCTGGAACCTTGCCGGTAGGCCATGAGCCTCGTGGTAAAATATAAAACAATGGAAATGGGTTAACCAAAGATATAAGAGCTAAGCTAGCTATATGCTTAAGTGATTGGCCAAGCAGTGATTTAAATAATATAGTTTCTGAGTGTTTATTTTGTGGTCTGGCCAGCCTGGAACAAATAAGCAGCCACCTACAATATGTCAAGATAAACATTTTAATCCCATCTTGCAGAGCTCCATGCAGGCCAGACAAGTGTTCTACCACTGAACTATAGATGCTGGCCCCAAATATATTGCTGCATTTCTGTATGAGTGCATGTGCATGTTAGCGTGTGTGCTAGTTTTAAAATAAAACAAAGGGAAGGAAATGATGGGAGAAAGGGAGTACCAGGTGCCCTTTGAAACCAAGCTCCCTCTGTTTGGTGATGGCACTAGATTCCAGAAAAATAGAAAGGGCTAGTGTCAGAGGCATGGCAATATACCCAGAGAAAGTCAAAATAATAGCACAAAGTGCTGAGCAAAGGAATAACTGAGGCACTAAGTATGTAGGGGTGCATGCCTGCAATCCCAGCACATGGGATGTAGAGGCAGGATGAGCAAGAGTTCCAGGAAAGCTTTGGCCAGACAGTCAGACCCTGTCTCAAGAAAAAAAGAAAAGGCATTCCCTCTAAGGAAAATGTGCAATCCCTTTTTTGGACATTTACTAATTTGTATGTGTGCATGCACCTGCCTCATGGAGGTCATAGGTGAAGGTCGGAGGACAATTTTGGAGTCAGTTTACTCCTTCCACCTTGTGGGGATGGAGGATCAAATTCAGGTTATCAAGCTTAGTAGCAAGTGCCTTTACCAGCTGAGCCATCTCAGCAGAGCTA